GGAAAGAGTTGGAAAGCAATTCACTGCTGAGTTGCATCTAAAAAGCCAAACATCTTAGGAAAAAAATGGAGCCCACTGGGCCTGCTCCTGTCGTTGTGTGCAGAGGGAACTAGAGACTTCAGCTGCAGTAGTGCCTGATTTACAGCAGTCTATATGGGAACTGAATCAGGACTGGGACTGCTCATTCTTCATATGGGAAAGACGCAAGGAAGGAAAGAAAAAAAACCCAACTGGAACTGGAATGGGAGCAATTGGAGCACAGGATCCACAGTTACTTATCTCATATCCGCTTGAATCACCAGCTTGAATGTGCTGGCTTGGTACATTCATAAATCCCACTCCAAGTATTCAACAACAGGAGAGAGAGAGTTTGAAGTAGTATTTGACAGGTCCTGCTACTGGGCAACAGTGGCAACAAATCCCAATGCCCTTGGTTTGTTTGTTTTTAAACAAGAATAAAAAAAACCCTTTCCTGAAAGGCATATAGTTTATCATGTCCACACCAACTTCAAATTACTCTTCTTAGAGGAAACTGCTCACTAAAATTCTGAAGTCTTTAATGGCTACTTCCAGAAGCATAAGAGGGAATCATTTAACATCCCCCTTTTCTACATGGCGTCACAAGAGGTCTGAGCATTCAGATAAAGAAAGAGGAACAGGGAAAGCAGCTCTGACCTGCTAGCTGCCTGTTTTTGGAGTTCTGGAAGGAAACACGATTAGAGATACACCAGTAGGATCTTGTATAAGAAATCGCAGTAACTGCTCATATCTCATACATCCAGTTGTATCTAAATAGCTCCTGACAGTAACAATTAGCTGTAAGGTATAAAATAACAGGGAAAATAAAATACAATATTCAAGTTTAAATAGATAGTTTTTCTTCCTTCTACTAAAGAACTTCTGGAATTTCCAGTCTCTTCAAGATCCTGGTATACAGCTGCCTGCCTCCCTTTCATTTCTGCTGTTTTACCATATGGTGACCACGTTTTTGTGTGTGCATATAGGACAGGCAACACTTATTTTGTTTCATATGGGTCTGCTTTGTGTGAGTAAAGCTAAGAGATGCATTGCTTTGTAGTTCTAAGCCTGATATTTTGCACTCAAATATTCAAAGAAAAACACCTGGTCACTCATACTTTGATTGCTCATACTATCCAGAAACACCTCATTTGCCTTCCAATGCCTGAAGTAATTCTGCATCCCTCCACTGAGCTTTTCAAAGAGGAAGTTTTCCCATCCATATCTGCACTGAAGGTACTAGCTCTGAGCAGAATTTCTCCCCAAGGCCAAGGGAACAGCGTGCCTGGGCTGGTATAAGGAACACTGAAGGACTACCAGCATAGGCATTGGGGTGACCAGGGCACAGGCTTCAGGACCAACAGTTTGATATTAACTTCTCAGAGGAAAGCTGACGTGGGGATCTCTTTTGCTAGCAGAGGAGCTGCTCACAAAACGCGAAATCCCAAGGCACAGAGAGAGGTGGCCCTGGACAGCACGTGCAGGCTTTGTGCAGTTTTCATTCTAACTGAAGGGCATTAAAATATTATCTCCCTATTTACTAAAAATGCTGGCTTATTCTGAACAGATCATCTTGTGCTGCTACAACACATCTCCTGGTGGGTTTGAAGTCAACAAGGGCTCATCTTCAAAAAGAAAAGTTGTGTTCTGTAGCACATAGACCTACGGTAACTAACAAGGCGATAAAACCCAGATTTGTTCTTTGAGGATCGCAGTCCTTGGGCTCCCATTTATAATAGTCGAAAGCTTAGAGCTTCTGTTTGAAGAGATATGCTGCTAGAGTTAGTGTGTCTTGTAAGGACAGAACCACCATCCTTGCTACCATGTATCTTCTGAATAGATGCATGCATTAAAAAAATATAAATACATCTGTTGGAGGAAGTTGACTACAAAGAAAAAGCTGGATATTTGCTCTCTTCTCTTCAGCATCTGTGTGCGTGCACATATTTGTCTTTCCTGTGCAGTCTGCAGCATTATTTCTATAGCTCATGATAAAAACGCTAAAAAGCCCCCAAATGTAACAATTGAGGGACTGAATCAGTTTCTATGTTGGCTTTCATAATACTAAACAGTTCTTAGGCAACTGCTGTGCCAGAATCAAGTGCTTAATGATACTTCCCATGTAACTGGTGTCTATCCTTTTCATTCCTTCCAACTAAAATTATTTTGTAAGAGAGAAATATTCAGTCAGGCTTGGAAGATTCTGTTTGTAAACATATGGTAGAATTCATGAAGGGAGCCGTGTCTGAGAAATCACATGATAGGGGGTAAAATCCTTGCAACATGTGGAGTCACATAAGCCCTGATCCCTATCACATAGGCAAGTGAGGCACTTCTGCTGTATTCAAGGATCCTATATATTAATATTTTGCTTTAAAAAGTATGAGGTAAGTCTTTTGCACTTTAAGGAGAAGATTTGATCCATTGCTCTCCAGAATATGGCTAGAATAAAAAGTACTCTCTCATTCAACTAAGACATCAATACTTTTGAAACAAACCCATCTGATTGATTTTTATAATTTAAAAGTAAATAACATGCCATTTATATTTATCGAGCAATTTCTTACCTCAGGCCCAGGAGGACCCAACGGTCCATGGGATCCAGGATCTCCAATTTTTCCCTTAAAAGAACCCAAGCTGTTAGGTTTCTGATAACAAATTAAAATTTTTAAACCCCAGACTCTTATTAAGATTTCAAAATATTACCAAAAAGAAAACCAACAAAATTGTGGAGTAGACTTTACTATTAAATAGGAAATTTTATAATTGTATACTGCTTCTCTTTGGATTTAATTAAGACTCATTCTTCTTCATAGCTTGTTCAAGTCATAATGAATAAAATGCAAATTAGTTTTAGATAAATAAAATTGGAGCCTTGGGATAGCCCAAATATTTGTATAAATAAAAAATTTGAAACATATGGCTGTCTTCATAACAAAAAAAATTGTATACTGTTTAAAAGGCCAGGAAGTAACTGTTAGGAATATTAGTTTATACACTTGCCTATACATGCTAACTGGCCATTCCTGGCCGAAGAAGTTAATTTGGCCCTATGCACGTGTTTGATTGATTCCACTATACACAAATAATGACACACTCAGAAAACTGACCAAAATATTTCTCTAAATTGTATCTGCTCTTCCATCTTTAAACCTCTGTTGCTGCTACTGCCATAAGCGGGTGTTTCTTGAGTAAAATTCAAGCCTAACCTGGAAAATCTTTTAATGTTTTTAATATAATTATTTGCTCATTTCTGCGAAGTTAAACATGTTACTTGCAGGACTGAGGTCTCATATCTTATTTTAATGAAAGTGAAAAAACTGTTCACGTTCAGTTTGTGATTAAAGTTCACCGCTTTTTCAGGAAAGGGCTACAGCACCTGTTTAAACGTAACAGGACCATGTTTTCACATGTAAAGGTAAGCAAGTTTCTACAAGTCTTTTGCAGGATCAGGGTTTACACTTTAAGTTATCTGGGACAAAATAAGAAGGTTTTTTTATTGATTCTAAGGACCTACGACATTTAAGACAGCAATGGTGGTTTCACTGCACATATGAAAGCTGAGACTGGAGGGGTTAATCCTTTAAAAGCATTAAGTGTTGGCTGCTCTTAATTATGCACAGAAAAGAGGCTGGGAAAGGTTAAAATCATGAAGTCAACCAGAATTTGGAAGCCCAGGACTGCATTATTAGAATGAAAATCATTAACTGCTTCATTTTATATTACAGGTAACATCAGACCCTTAAGCTAGGTCTTAACATTTACAGACAGATGCTTTTAAATTGCCCCAAATCAGTAAATACTATAACCCTTGACTGCTCCCATCCCTGTGAGAAATGACTGCCCATTATTATGAGATTTCCCATACACTTTCCAAATTCATCTAGCCCACATGGTCATCTGGGCAGCTCCCAAAGCTCTCAGTGAATTCGGTTCTAACATTACCATCCTGTCTATTCCCCTGAAAGTAACTGTTACAGAATGCCAAATGTCATAAGTAATTCCCATATTAAAATCTGACACATATAGTATACCGATCTTTAAAATACAATCTTTCACACATCAGGATCTAACTCACCAATTATAAGTCACTAGATATAAAAAAAACTTCGGTCTTATTCTTTGTGCATTTTGACATAAACAGCTTCTAAAGGATTACATGTGGCCTAAATGCGAGACAGGGAGAAGTAGAATGTAACATAAAGTGATATACTGAGAGTAAAAATAAATGTTTAAACTTACAGGAGGTCCTGGCTTTCCTCTGATTCCTGGGGGTCCTGGTAAACCAAGAGCACCCTGAAAAAAGAAAGCTATTAAATACAAATGAAAATGTATCATTGCCTTATGTTGGAAACAATAAACAGATTGCTATACTTTGCCATCCAAAGGAGGCTTCACAACCATTCTGCAGGATCTGAAATGAGTTCAGCAAGAGTTCTCACAGGACGCGCTAATTTTAGTGACTTCTGATGTACCAGTCAAAAGAAAAAGAATACTTGTTTGTCTCAAGTTTCCTATCGAGCAGCATGCCAGACTATGGGCTGCTACTAACCAAAGCTGGTCCAGGCGAGGTCCAAATGAACTCTTGGGATCAAGGGAAGGTGTCCTGTACAACAGCTTCTGAGCCGGTTTCAGAAGGAAACAGATACTACTTTTCTTGGTTGATGCATCTCTGAACAGACGACAGCCAGAATTCTACCCATGCCCTTTACTTGTTTTCATTCACTACTTTCCCCAATTAAGTTTTATTTAGCGTAGCATTTTCGAAAAATATGTTAATACAGTGGTACCCAGTAACTTTTACTACTGCATTCTACTTCTGCGCAACTAAGTTGTTGCACTTTAAGACTCAAAAGCCTAAAGAAGGGACTGACATTGGACAATTCTGCAAAACAGTGTAATTATAAATTACCTTGTCTCCTGGGTACCCCTGGTCTCCTGGCTCTCCTGCAAGGCCATGTTCCCCCTAAACAACATATTATTTTATGCAGAGATATGTATGTGGCTTAAAACAAAGTAGTTCTCAGAGTTAGAGAAGGAGAAAAATAAAATCAGTGCTTAGTACTTAAAACTGTAGCACAGATCTTTGAATGACTATGCAAGATGTTGCACTGCAGCATCCATTCCAGCAAACTCTACAGACAGGGCACCGCATACTGTTATGCTCAGTAAGAAGTACTCTGTCCAGAATAAGTTTGCCCAAAGGATCAGATTCTAGTTCTGAAACCGCGCGCGTTTTGAGGGGTTTCGCGCAAATTGTGTCATTTCCACCCCCCCCCCCCCAAAAAAAAAAACACAGTAGAACAGGAAAGAAATCAAAAAGAAAAATGGAAGGCTTTAGTCAAGTATGTTATTTTGCTCAAGTTTTGATAAAGGTAGTCTGAAAGGACAGTATCTCTAGGATAACAGAAATATTTAAATCACCTTATCACCTTTCATTCCAGGCTGTCCCACACTCCCTGGAAGACCCTATTAAAGGGAAGGAAATAAAAATGCTTTTCTATAATTTCGAAAATTTGGAAAGCAGTGAAGGCACCTGGCTGTGGGAACATTTCACACTGTACCATGGGCCCTGGAATTCCTGATGGTCCGCTTGGTCCTGCCAGTCCAACACCTCCCTAGGAGACAGCAGAAAAGGTGACTGTATTAAGGGTTTGCTGAAGTGTAGTATCTTAGAGACTGGTAACACAATATGGTGTTTTCTGTACCACAGATAGAAATCAAAAATCTTTGTCAATCTAATTTCCTGGGGGAAAAGTATCCATACTATAAGTCCTCCACCATTATGGTTCCCATTCACATCAGCAGTAACACCAGGAACCAAGCTTCCCTCTTGTCCTGAAGATTGTGTGTCCAGGAGAACACAGTGGTGTGCTAGACAATGTAGAATAAGGAAATTTTCCTTTATACTGCAGCTGCACATTCAGCGGCTATCCCCTCTCTGTCTTTGGGGTTATATGACACATTGCCAATTCTGCAAGCATCAAATTTGGCTAAAAGGAATTATTCCACTATGAATAACGACATTTCATAAAAAGCAGATTTTTTTCATCTCTCAGAGACTTCTACAAGTTAAAAAAAGCGATGGGATTCTCCCAAAACTGCATCATGTGGGCAATCTTAACCTAAGTTCTGATAGGCACGTTAACTTCTTCCATCCTTAGGTACCTCCGAGCCCTGACTACATCCTTACTTTCTGGGACTTAAATGTACCGTTCCATGCCCTAAGTGAGAGTGAGAGAGAGAGAAAGAAACAAAACAAAAAAGAACCTCCCCCAAAACAAAACAAAAAAACCTGAAACACTTAAAGATCAACACAGCAACACCACATTAGAGAAAGATTGTTAACTAAACTTAGAAAAAGACCCAGCAGCAGCTAAAACTATATTACAGACGGAAAGTCTATCCACTTTCTACCTTTCCTACCTCTGAAAAACATAGCAGTGTGACACCTCTGTGCCTGCAAATGCTATGTAAGAACTCAGCAACAAATACAAACAAAAATCTTTTGCTACTTGCTGAGAGTAACATGGAAAAGAGGAGGCAGGCACCTATTGGGTTTTTTTCCAATTCAGCGCACTTTCTTCATTCTTTTGGCAACGTTAGCAAAAACTGTAGCCCTCACCAACCTCATGGTTTGCTAAAGAAAAAGGAAGATTGATGGCTTAGCTTCTCAATGATGCTTGGTAAAGCTCTCAGGAAAACTGCCACTCTTTAATACTCTAACTTTCCATGACTGCTTAAAAGACACAATTTGTCTTGTTAGCTGATGCCAGGATAAATTGCGTCCATTGCTACGTCTTACTTTTGCGGTAGATACCAGTTCAGCAAGGCTATTCTATATTAATGATACTGTATGTTGACATATATACTTATGGTAACAATGGCACTGGCTGAAAAAGCACAGAGTGTCACTGAGCTGGGAAATTCAGCTTAGAAAAGCAATGAGAAGAGGTTCCAAAACAGCTTAACAAAATTCAGGTTGATAAAACTCCTGTCACAGAGTTTGGAGTCTAGAGTCGCCTCCAGAGACATTTGGCTGGCCTAATTAACAGCAAAGACTTGGAACTACATCAGAATAAAACTGAAAAATGATTTCAAGGGAGAACGTCCTTTTTACACTGCACAGCTATAGTCATTATGCCCAACTACCATGCTTGTAACTTGAATCTCAGACATGGAGAAGGGCTAGAAATCTTCAGACTATGTTAAACCTGAAAACCTTTCTTCTCATTAGAAGGAAGTCACACTTGCTGCCTTAAGGTGAATATGGAGATACAGAGTTTAGACTATTGATGAGAAAAGAGTTCAACTAATAAGTCTGTCAGTTTTTAAAATTGTCCTCTATTTACATTAGCTTTACTGTCAGCACATGCTGAGTGGTTTGGTTAAAACTTGGTAGTCGATGTACAACAAACTTCTAAATTAATCTAAATTAATTAAAAGGGAGACCAAAGTTATCAATTTAAAAATTAGATAAGTTTCATTTCTGTGTTTATGATTTAATTACAATATTGCAAGGCTTGCAGTTAAGACACCTATCCACCTCCTTTTGTAGGAAAAAAAAGCATGCTGCTTATGTAAACAGTCTTATGAGACACAAAATCAGATCATAAATATATTTACCAAACATCACATCTTTGGTCCATCTCATCTGTGCAGAGTAATTGCCTTCCAAATATACCAATGCTGACATCTGTGTCACCTCATTTTAGATAAAGGTTTGCATAGCTGAATTTGGTAAGAAGTTTTCAATAGCTATGCAAAGATATTTTTAAAAGTCCATCTTGGGGCATTTGCTCTGCATTTATGAGAAATGAAAAATTAAAACTTATTTTCACTGTTCAAGATGGGGAACAGAATATACGACGTCTGTTGAGTTCATACTGTTAAAAACAACAATTTAACTTACAGAAATACAGACACTTATATAAACACTTATTATTTTCATATCATCTGAACCTGCAGTGTTTTAAAATATAAAACAGGTCAATAGCAATGAAAAGAAAAATTAGTTGGGCTACACGAAGCCTATTTTTTCCATCATTTGTATGTGATTACTGAAATTAAAAATAAATAGGTTGAATATCTGTTGAATAAAAAAAGACAAGATACAAGGAAAGGAAAACCAGTGCTTCCTGGTATCAGGAATGTTTTTCTTTAAAGAAAACACATTCATTTTAAGAGAAAAACTTGCTCTGATAATTGTAGTAGCAAGTTTTCTCAAAGTCCTCATCTTACTAAAACTCATGGCCTTGCAAATCATGAGAGACTGACTGCTCAGCCAGCCAAAACTCTGAACTTGGCAACAGTTTTGATATATTGAAAGAGTCATGGAAGGAAGGAATTCTTGGACTCAGCTTGCCCATGCTGCTTACTTTACCATTGTTCTCATGAACAAACACAAAAGTATAATTAGCTCTTGACATTGCATACAGCTGGGCTGGACAAGCTACTTGAATTAATGCTGCTGGCTTCTGCTAGAATAATATTATATTTAATCTACTGTTCAACATTTCATCTTGTAACGGTATAATGTGTTATAATTGACTAAGTATTTCAGACAAATATTAAGGTCTCTAATTCTTTATTCAGTTTTGAACAGCTCCCCTGAACAAGGGCCATGTGAAAACTGAGGCCAGGGTGCATGAACCTGTTTGGGGAGAGCAGGTGCAGTGCAGGAATAGGGCTGTGCTGCACAAACTGTCCTCAGGGACGGTAAGGAACAACCAAAACTTCTCCAGGGTCTTGGTGAAATTCTGCAACAGTTTAAAGCGTGCAATGGTCCCGTGTAAACAAAATACAGAACAAAGTATAACTCCTCCAGCTATCTTACTGACTGGGAAACCGGGAACAAGAGCACTAATTTGAGGTGGTGCAGAGGTACAGAGGGATGTTTTGCTGATCATATGCACTATATGACCATCCACACAAGACTCATCCCATTAGCTACCCAAGTCCTTTTCAGTGATGTATTCATGCTATTTTTAAGCCACACAGATTTGCTGGTGTTTTGTAAGTTTCTAAAGGCTGTTGAGAAATTTGGACGAAATGCTGCTGGGCCCTCATCCTCAACTGCAAAGTCTTACTGTACCAGTAAGGTCTTATCAGCCAGGCACAGTTAGCAACCCTTAAAGCAGCATTTCTAACATGCAGCATGTCTTGGCTCAAGGAAAGAAGATACCTTTAGAAACAACCCAACACATGCATAAGACCTATTAGGCTGTCAGAAGGACACACTATTATAACCCTACCTACTGTTACTGAGCAGCATTTGCATATCATAAGTGTTTGTCCATACATTTGCCATTCCGAGCACTACACTCAAGACCAGAAGTTTATGTGCAAACCTACTTCTGCCTCCAAAAACGTCTTGGCTTTTCAGTACCTACCTCAGCTACAAACACACAAGGGTATGGATCAAAGGAGCTGCCTGCTCCATAAAAGATCTCTAACTCCCTGCAGTCAAAGGGAGCAGCAGCAGGTGAAGTAAAACTTGCAACACCTACAGGAGTTTAAACTCTAATATGAACAAAACGTGTATGTTCGCTTTGTGTATGTGCATGTAGAGTGAACATGCACATACTCTATGTTCTTTTACACAGCTGGAACGGTGCAAAGGGCCCCACGAAGAAACAAGAGGTAGAACCCCACACAAACGGAGTTTATAGGCCAAACCCTTGTAGATTTTATGCTGGTCAAAATCTAATTATGCCATCAACTCTCATGGGTACTGCTATTTTGAGCAAATCCACTCCTATTGGTTTATATATGGGAGTATTTTAAACACATACAGTCTACTCATTCCATCATCAAGAAACCAGATATTACTGCATATCTGACAGTCTAAATATTTTTTGGCAAAACTAACCTTTTTTTTTATTGACAGCTTATGAATGCAAACTTGCTTCAACATAGACTGAGGCTCAAAGCAAGAACATCCCAATCTGACAACGGGTTAAGTCTTTTTTGTCTAGAAATAGCTCTCCTTATGGCAGTGTTTTAGAAACATACAAGTGGCAAAGGCTTTGGACTGGTCATTGATAATATCATCTATATTTTATACAAAACTTACTGATACCCAGTCTCTCTGTGAAAATGATTGTAACTCAGCAACATGGAAAAACGGATCTCTGATCTGCATACATTTATGCTCACAAATTCTAGGAAGGGCTAAACCGCTGACTAAGTTTATTCACAGTAATTAGTATCAGTATCTTTATAGAAGTGACATACAATAGGCTTTTTTAAAAAAACAAACTCAAATATATTTGTACAACTATCAAAGTCCTTGAGATAAAATTCCAAAGATAGCCACGTAAGAAAAAAAGCAAACTATAATTCAAACCAAATTCCCAAGAGTGCAGACTGTAGTCTCACCAGTGGTTGGCTCAAATGCATCAACTGAGAAGAACACAGTGAGTCATGTTTGCATGATGAGGGCTGCGAGCCACAGGGGTTCCTTGACCAAGCTTGTGTCTTCACTATAGCAATGCCATAACAACCCCAAACAGGCAGCAAGGAACTTATTATAAGTATATAATTAAAAAATAATAACAACAGGACTCAAATGTCATACTTCAAAGGAAAAGTTAGATGGCCATCAGTATAAACCAACAAAGTTTTAAAAAATGTTTTAGAGCTCAAGACATCAAAAAAACTGGAGACAATCAAGGCTTTCTTAATTCAAGTGTAAATACGCTATTTTCTCCCACATATTATGAACTATGTACAAGGCTGGGTAACCAGCCTTGGCTGAGCCAGCATCGACAATCAAATCCAGGTCCTCTCTCAGTAAACACATGAATTACTTGAAATAAGAGAGTAAGGCCACACTGCCTGAACAAGTCGCAGTCACTCCCACCTCCTCTATGACTCCCTTGCATCACAGGGCGTTCTCCTGTGCGACTGCCTTTATAGAGCTACAGTTTGCAACTGTGTAATGGGTAGTACAAGCTTACTCTAAAATACACAAAAAAGGGGAACATTTTAGGATGCTACTAAAAAAAAAAGACAAAATAATTTGCCTAGAAATTAATTCTGCTTTGAATTCAGTGGCTACATACATGAATAAATTAGGGCTGAGGACTTCAAAATGTTTCAAAATACTGCACTTTTTCAAAAAGTAACCCTGGCCTTAGAGGGATAAACTAGTAAACTCAGTTATTTTAAATTTAAAAAACCCAGACCTGGAAGATCAGGAACAAGCACACAAATAGCAAACAAGTATACAAGTGCTCCATACCAGCAACATGAGAGCAATTTTGTGAAGTGATTTTAATTAGAACTGCTGCTAATTAAAACAAAATCTGTTAAAATAACTTCCAGAATCCCTGAATTTTTGTTTGTTTGTTTGTTTTTTTAAACTATTTCACAAACATTGTGGTGAAGCCATATCAAAATAAACAAACAGAATTCTACTCACTCTTAGTCCTGGAAATCCAGGAGGACCAACACCACCAACAATTCCCTTAAAAGACAAATAACTTTAGATTACCAGAATTGTAATATTTTAACAAATTACCACTTCTAGTGAGATAAATAAAAGTGATCCACAAAGCAAACAAATAGGGATTTATTTAGAGAGTTCCTGAAAAGTGACAGCTTCCCACTGTGCAAGGGAATATGCTTATTGAAACCCTTGACTGAGGAACTAGGTATTTGTGTCATTAAACCATTCCTGCGTTACCAAGGAATACCAGATTTGATATCCTGGTATTTTAAGAGGGAAGAAGAAAAAAAACAACTGGGGGGGAGGGGAAGCTCCATGACACTTTATGAAGATTTCTTTAAAAAAAATAAATAGGACACCAGCCCAGTTCAAAGAAAGACCTTTGCGAATCACATCACATACAAATCACAAAGGTTACTTTCTCTTTACAGAAAATTATTTCTTGATATGAATTAGATGATTTGTACTTTATGCAGCAGGAACAAATGTGACTGCACAGAAACAGAGTACCAATACCTTCGGATTTCATAGGTGGCAATTTTTTTTTTTTAATTACATTTCAGTATACAAAAAGGTTTAAATGTTTCAATTAGTTGAACAACCACCCTTCCCTGCTGCATATAAATTCAGCTCAGCAAAGGCTGTAAGTTCTGCATGCTGCCAACTGCACGCTGCCAGCCTCTGCCCTGCGTGCGAAGGGCATCGCAGCCCTCCAGGCCGGCACCCCTCCCCGCAGCTGTCCAGCCTCTCGAGGGAAATCCTGTGAAGGGCTCGCCGCAGCCTCCGAGCTCCTGTCACCACAGGCCTCCCAGGCAGCCCCTGCTCTCCATTGCCAGCTCACGAACAGGCTCTGCGAAAATCGCATTAGCATCGCGCCGGGCTGCCGCCCCCCGCAGCTGCGGCCCTGGCCCCTTGCCCGAGCGAGCGCTGCGGGGCGAGTCTAGGGGGAGGAAGGCAGAGGGGTCACTGCCTGTTTGAGGAGGCAGTAAGAGCAGCAGCTGTCTTGGCAGATTAGAAGGAACTTGTTGGCAAATGTTTGTGTTAAAATAGGCTTCTTTGTAAAGTGCAAGTCCGTAATTTAGGATCCAGGCTTTCTGAGCTTGTTTCTGTTAAAGTACTGTTGTTCTTCAGATCCTGTGGAAAGAGTATATCTGCTTTTCAGGAAAGGAGGGGGATCTGGCAGCAGCAGCAAGGGAAGGAAGAACTCACTCTTGCATGCCATTTGCAAAGCAGCTGGTCACACTTACAGCCCCTCAGAGCGCTTTCCAGGTGAGAGCACCAGGCTGACACCACCTGACCACCACCACCCCAAGGGGAGCTCTGCCTCAGGAACCAGAAATGCAAAATAATTTTCTCACAGGTTCCAAAATGCTGGCACCAGACGATAATAATTGCACCAGCAACATTCATGGAAAGTCTTCTAGAACAAATTTCCAATTCGGAGGTCAGGAAAGGGCAGGTCTTCAGAAAGGACACCAGCTCTGCCCAGCTGCTGACCGTATCAGAGCAGCCTTCAGAGGCCCAACTGATAGCAGCTTCCCAAGGAGACCCAGCACTGAGAGCAGATTCAAACTGCCATTTGCTCATGTGGGCCAAAGCCCTTTACGCTGGTTTCTCATCTCAAAGGAAACCTGAGTTTGGAGTCTGCAGCCAGAGCTTCCCTACAAACAGGGCGAGACAGCAAAGCTCCTTTGAGGACAGCCAGTAAAGTGACGTGACAGTGCCACAGTTTGAGTACAGTGCCACCAGAGCACTTTAGCCTGAATATGCTGCCAAGAACAGAGCTGTAACCATACTGCTTATAATGCACTAAATGACATACTAGCAGTAGTGTGTGCAGTAACAGTTCAAAGGATAAAATCAACTATAAAATGCATGAGCATATGAAAGACAGGGTTTTGGCACACAAATTCAGAATGCCTTTTTTTTTTTTTTTAAATGGGATCCTAGCATTATGGTTTAAATAAAGAATGCAAAAATCATATCTAATAGAATAATTTTTGAAGGCAAAACATTGATCAGTAATGCAATGGGGACAGCAAGACACCTGATTCTCCAAGCAGCGAGCACCTGCAGCAGCAGCAGCTGTGTGCTTTCAGCAGCTTTCTGGTCCTTTTCTTTCTTTTTTACGTCACTACTCATTATGCTACTAGCCTAGCACTTTCCATGTAGAAGTAACAGAAATCTTCCTGTAGGCTTCAGAAAATTGTTTTTCAGGCAAAAGTCTCCTTTTTATGGAGGAGAGTTAATCATGAATGTTACATACTTTACCATCTTAATCAACACACAGTTTGATACTTACAGGATTCCCATCTGGACCAGGTGGTCCTCTATTTCCAAAGTCACCTGGCGAACCCTAAGGTAGAAAGGAGAATACTTGTTCTTTATGTCTTTAAGACACAAAGGATGGTTTGAGCACCAAATTCCTACAGAAGCTAGAAACTAAAGGTATTAGCATGGGGGTCCAGGGGAGAGATGGAGGAAAGGTGAAGGGGAAAGTTTCAGCTGCACTGTTCAAATGGTATTTTGTTGTATTCTAAAATCATATTCAAAAAGATATATAATGCAAGTGTAGGACAAAAACAGACAACTGAGTACTTTGAGAGCAATATTACAGCAATATAACTCAGATTGTTTGTACTTGGAGTCTCTTATTTCCCTGTTTTATCTCAAGATTAATATTATTTTCCTGTGGCCTATAGACTTTACTGAAACATTCTGTCTTTCATTCTCCTCTTACTCTTCCCCAAATATTAATGGCTCCACACTCAGTGTGACAAACGTGCACTACAAATCAATTTTTCCGTCCTTCTGGCACAACACTATCCTTACTAGTGCAAACACTCATCTCCCTCAGCCTGCATCTAGAGACTGAAATAGTAACATAAACAACACATGGGAAAACCTCATTCATTTTATCAGAGTTTTGATTTCAGAGCCTGGGTTATCAGAGACGGCAAACCTCCTTAAACACAAGGATGTAGAAGAAATAGGATTGGCCAAGTGAAGGGTCAAAGCTTCTTGCAAAGTAAAAAGCAAAATGAAATGGAAACCTCCCACTTTACTGGCACTTTACTACCTTGTTTAGAAGGCATCCATATAGCTGTTGAGCTCTCAACTACACACAGCAAAGTTTCTTTTCTTAATGTTATAGGGAATACATACCATTCCACAACATTATACTATTAGCAGTTAGGAAGACAGTATAAAACTGCAACAAGGAGGTGGGAAGATCTTCTCATAAAACAAAAATACTTCAAGGACTGCTTAAGCCATATTAGATTTAAATCACAACTTAAAACAAAAATTCTATAAAAATGAATGCAATTTATTATGTGTATATATAGTATCTATACATACACACTTCCAAACTAGCATGTAGAAACAACAACTCCTGTAGAAACAATTCCTGTCACCACTCATGATGCTGTGAATTCATCTGAGACATTCATAGCACTCCCTGTGCCATCTTTTAAAAATTAACACAGTAAAGGTTGTATTTTTGAATATAAAACTAACAAATAGACATTTTGAAGAGAAACACTTGCTGAATTGAATGCACTTTCACTTAATGCAAATCATAACTTAAACTAATTATAAGTTATACACATAATTATTAAATATAAATTACATGAGTAGTAAGCTACTTACTTCATGATTTGATAGTGTTATACTGAATTAGAGGAGAATCAGGCAGTGGGGGGGGGTAAATCACATTAGCAATGAAATCGATAAGATTTTGCCACTGATTTTGAGGGGTGAAGCTTTTACCTTGGGAGTAATAAATGACAGACATTAGGTTTCATTAACACATCAGATACTCTCCAAAACAATTGTGGGACATTCTTTATGCACTGCAATTGCACACTGAAAGCAACTTAATTTCCTGCCATGTGGTACTGATATTAAAAATACAGAATATCTATGGTACTATCAAAGGTTATCTAATTAAGTGAAAAACATACGGAAATGGAGAAGCAGGTACAGCATTAACATGGAAAAAGGAAGTTACACTCTTAGGGCTTCTAAAATAGCGATAATTTGCCTCCACACGCAACTTTAAATCCTTTGATTTTTCTTGGATTGCACAGGCCGTGACTTCCTTCCAATGAAATGTGGAAATACTTGACTGACCAGGCTGGATTCAGCACACAGAAGCCCGAGAGGAAGATGTTATATCTTTGCTGCCTGATCCAATAAGGGCTGCGTCCCCAGAGGGCCCTCTGCCTGGCAAAAGACCTGCTTCGCTGCACTCCTTGCCCTCGCCACAGCTCCAGGGGAGCCAGGAGCCAGGGTGTTCAGCCTGCACAGCCCCCGCCCGCAGCCCTTCCTCAACCAGTGTGCCTCACTGCCACCCCCCTCTGGCATACAGGGGCAGCATGCCATTCTGCTGCAAATTGGGAATGCTAGTTTGCTATTTTTTGATCCCCTTCCTGCTAGGGCAGAATTTCTGCCACCCAACTCTTCACATGTGTCACCCGTCTATGTTTTCCAAAAGACAGCTTCAAGGTTTTTTTTTGCATTCTCTTACAAATTCAGAAAAGTAAAGAACAGGAACGCCTCTCTCAGCTATGAAATTTTTATTCAGGATCTGGTTGTGGAACTCACGAATGAGAATCTATAGCCATGGTCAGAAGGTCTAACATGTACATACCTTTCTAGCATTACTGTCTCACCACTTAAACAGTAGACGTTCATATGCTAATTGTTGATATAGAAGATGTCATTGATTCAACATATACATCATTGGCCAAATTTTCACATGTAAAATTTCACACATGTAAAATGGTTATTTGACAGTGCCTGTGCTGTTAAAAGGTACTAGCTCCTAACATGTAGATGAAGATTAACTTAACTCAACCTTTTTTAAATAGCATAATATTTTGGTTGCAGTGTCTACCGTAGGTAGATGTTAGAAAAGGCAAAATTGAGATAACATATATGAACATCTTTAAAAAAAACACACACACACACACACACACAATCAAGGCATCAAAAGGGAAACGGAGAATGCAATGGGACAGTTTGTGCAGCCACTAGATCACAGATGCAGGTCACAGATGATTATTTACATACAGCACAAACACAGCATGCCACGAATTATGAAGGGGACAGATTACCCCTAGTCATCATAACCCCATTCTAAACAGCATGAGTCTTCCAGATGATGTTGACAAAACTATTTTAGTAAGTAGAGAAAGAGAATTTCCAACCAAGGAAAACAGTCAGAAAGGTCTCAGATTAGAAGTAGTACAATAGTACTACTGTGCAACAAATGTTTTATTGTATCAATATCATCTAACACATTACTATAAAACATATGAAGGAAGACTATTCATAATTTTAATAGAAAACAGAACCTCAACTGTTTTTGCACAGTTGCAATGGACTAGACTAATAAATTCTTGGTTCAGTTTATAAGGTCTGTTCTGTCACATTGACTGATGGTTGCAACTAGTCCCATCCAGAAGAAAACTATGTAAAAAACATTCCCCCCTAAATGTGGTCAAACTACAGACATAAAAACACATCATAGTAAAAAGACAGACAATACATTTAAAATACTGCAGAACTAGCCAAATTTTGTACTATAAGCATAAAATGGAAAGAAATGGGATTTTTTAAAGTGTACTGTATATCCAACCAATCTAAAATTCAAGCAAACCCCCACTGTATAATCACCACATCATCATAAAGATCTTGGCAACTGAGTATTTTGTTCCATTTCAAATATGCCAAGTATTACAAAAACAAATAACTACTCAGCAAGCCTGCTAAGCAGCAGCAGTCTGTCTCTGGGTACAGTCTCTGGGGACGCTGTACCATATCAATGGCACAATCCCTTGTCAAATATCAAATACCTGTCAGTCTCTCAAGATGGTAAACTAAACATCAGCAAATGTAATGGTCTGATCTTTGTCCTCTAATGTCCTCTTACTGTAGTCTTCAATGCATATTAAATATTAAATGAACTGTTGCATATATCTAGTGGAAGACCTCCGTCTTCACTTCTCTTATACTTTAGATCACTTTCTCAAAAATGAGATAATATTCAGGATTTGTTTTCTTCCTGAAGGAACTTTGCCAGTAAGACTATTTTTTTTCCCAGCATTATTATTGACAGAAAACTTGTCCAAAGAAAAGTTGCATCCTAGATCACAAGGCCAGGAGTCTGACTTCAGGCACTATGCAGTTCCCACACCAAGCATCCTTTAATGACAACGCCCTGCCCTGAATTGCTGGAGTCGTTAACTCTCTGACAATGTCTTTTGTCACAGAGTCCACCACAGCTATCAGTTATCTGAAAAAAGAGACATTCTCTAAGTTTGTGACCCAGCAAAGCAGTCCAAGCCAGGCTCCCATTTAATTACTTTGCTGGTCCCCATATTAGCAGACTTTAGTCAAGTAGGCGCTTTAGGTTATAGAAAGGCTTTGGAATGGACCTTGGGACTATGGAAATAACAACATTACAGAGGAATTAGTACTAAATAAAGGATAATCGAAAACATCACACAGAGGCACTCTCAGTGATCTCTTGTGTATTAAATCATTTCAGATTTATTTTTATAATTAAAAGCCCTCACCAGAGCACAACCTGGTACTGAAGCTGTGTTCTTGCTGTAAATGAAAAATAACTGCTCACCACAGCACGCATAGCACCAGCTGACAGGGACTGACACAAACCACTGCACTGGCAATCAGAAGCAGAAGTGACATCTGCCACTGAGAACGAGATTATAATGCAAAGCAGGTTTTCAGAGTACCCGACTGTCACCTCCCCTCCCCCCCCCTTTTTTAATCCACCCTGAGCACAAGCCCTCTGTTTTCCATCCAGATTCTTGCTGTTCTTCAATGCTTCGCGTGACTCACTAACGCAGCAAGCTACCCACTACTGCAATATATTGATGGCACAGACCAGGTCTTGCACAGTGCTCAGATGCACAAAGTAGTAGTGTTTAATTCACATTGCAGGCAAAATAATTAATTATATATTATTATATATTTATTACATATTCAAAAAGCATAGGAGCACTCTGTCCTATTAGCTGAATAATTAAAAAACGGAACCTTACTTTGATGTTATATCTTAACAATTTCATAGAAGCTTCAGGAGGAGTAGCGCCTATCTGTTTAATGACACTTCTCTATGTGCCTTTCTTTACACCAAAAGGGCTTTTATTGAAGGCTAGCGCCTTTTTTGGATGATGTTAGCATCACACGGCAAACAAAAAATAACTAAACGGAGTCCTCCACAATTTTTATAGTATACTTCAAGGGCCAAGCCAGGGTAAAGGTAACACTACTGCTGCACAAGCCTGTTCAAAGCGGTACGTGAAAGTCATCTGAAACGCTAAGTGCAACCGAGTGCATGACTGGGGAACGCTACCACTGTTTCCAATAGCAAACGACAAGTAGGTTAGAACTGGAAACCCCTGGATAGCTTCAAAGACCTAAAATAATAAGGTCGCAGCAGAAAACAAAAAACTTGGCATAGAAGACATACCACAGGAAACAGGTAAACCTTGACAATGTATGCTTGGAAGATTTATGTTTTATTCTCAGCTGTAGAAATATATGGTAAGTAGAGGATAGCTTTAATTTGCCATAGTCCAGAAATATCAGATACTGAAAGCTGCTGATTCGTATTTAAACTAACACCAAAATTAAACTTCTCATCAAACTTGCATCATATCTATACCTCATGCTAAAATGAATTTTAAGGAATATATTTGTGCTTTCTGTCATCTTTTAACCCTCAGGAAGCTGATATTAGCAACTAGCCACAAGGCTCATCATGTTAAGTGTTCTTCACTTGAGAACATCTAGTAGTTTCACCCTGCACAGAATTTTCAGTACTTCAAAGCACTAGCTGGAAACAATTCAAAGTTATCTGCAGAAAATATAGGAGTAACATTTTTCAAAGTATATAGTGAATTACAGGTGCATTTACGTTGGCAGCGGAAATCGCAAGCATGGGAAGCCTTACCTGTCTCCCTTTAGGGCCCCTTTTGCCGTGGACGCCTGGAATGCCCTGAGAAGACATAACTCACCGTAACTAGGTTTTCTTTTCTTCAATAATTTAAATTCAAGTAATTAAACTTCCACTTGATTGGGAAGGATAGTTTGAGAACAAGCACCATAAAAAAAAAAAGATGTGAGCAAAGAATCACGGAGTCAATGCCCTATAAGGGGGTGTGAGGGAGTGGGGCAAAAAAACCACAAACTGTGCTTGTCTTTGCTCTGGACATATCAGCTGAAACATGAAGGGCCAGATCCTGATTCCATTAAAGTATATGGCTTGGCATCCTTTGTGCTTAAGAGAAACAAGAAAAAGCTCAAGCATAGAGTAACAGAGATTGAGATTGCTATGAACAATTTTATTCTAAACACTATTCGGCAACTGGTAAATACTGACTGAGTGAAATTGCTTCCATGAAAAATATTCATTACTGACCTCAGTGATAAGAAAAAGACCCCCTAATCCTTGCAGATCCAGATTAAATTCAGTTAATAATTTATGTGATCCACATTTATTAACTTCAGTACCATTGTATTTCATTGATTAAACTAATTTGATATGATCTATTTATTTATATTTTTCTCCATATCAGTTTTGCCTTTAGAAATAAGACTCAAACGAATAGTAATATCTTCTGTATTTTTTTCAGGGGCATACGTTCTAACATACATTACATCCTTAACATATTGCATTACCACACAGATAACTATTTCATTGATGTTCCATTAAACCTACCCTTTCTCCTTCAGGTCCAGGTTGTCCTGCCATGCCTGGAGGTCCAATGAAACCCTTAAAAAACAAGAATACTTCTTTTTAAAAAGGCTGCTTCCCACCAACACTACTTGCTCCTCAGTATTGGTCAGCTGTGAGTTCAAGATCCAGGGATAAAATCTAGGCTTATTTGAAATTACTGGCAAAACTCATAATTTACTCTCCAACTAATTGGAAGAAAACCCTTGCTAGTAACCTCGCTAGTTTGGAAAGTATTCCAAACAGTCACAAAGTTGCATCAGAGAGCTCTAGTAAATGAAATAAGGAAGAGAAGCTGCTGAAATTTACCTTACTCATGAAATATAATCAGAAAAGGATGTTCCTCATCTTTAATAACTTTCCTGATTACTGCACTATGTAAGTGTCCCAGCAAGTTTACCTTGTCATAAGCAGAATGTTTTCCTTAAAAATCAGTGATGATGTATTTCTCTTCTACCTTCTCCCTCAGAAAGCCAGAAATACATCCTCACTTCAAGAGTCATCTTCTCTGTGATTGCATGGTACCATGTTCCTTCCATAGTGACTGTAAAATCTGCTGAGAAATAGACTTTTTGCTAAATTCATTGCTCAATATAATTGCTGTTTCAGTATGAAATACCAATGGTTCCTTCTGTGGAGGACCCATTATGACAGGTGACATACTAATCGCTGGGTAACAGAAAAGTCAGATCCCTGCGGTTTGCTCGCAAGCCAACCAGTTAAGCATTAACTCAATGAACAGAGTTAAAAATGAAAATAAAAAAATCTGAAATTAAAATATTTATAAGTGGAGAATTTGTTATTTGAGCACTTTACAAAATGCTGTTCTCTCTGGCTGCCTCAAGAATTTGTCTTTCTACCACTACAACAGATTTCAGTAGAGGCATCACCCCCCCATACCTCTCCCCTCCCCCAAAATATCAAGCCTATAATGGAAATTATAAAGGCAGGACATTTTTCTCGCGGACAGGAATCTTCATAACTACATGTTGAACAGAATATGCACAGCTTTTTCTAGATGATAAAACCAATTCAAGACAAACTGCTGCAATGCTCGAAAAGTGTGGGGATCAGTGTGCAACTTGTGTTTCCTTCTTTTCAGGTCATCCTGCTCATCGGTGAGTCAATACCCTAAACTGCAAAACGAGGAAAAGCAGGATGCGCAGAAGCTTCCAGTTCCCTATGCTTTAAATTATCCTCTGAAATATTTTTATTACATTTTTTTTAAATGACTGTATATGCACAAATATTTATGTGCTGGCTCCTAAGGTCTGTAAATTAATTCTGTTAACACTGTAATGTTTGATTTTGTTACACTCTGTTGCTTCAAAAGCACAGTTTTCATGCTTCTACTGCAGTGCACATACAATCTACTATGCGGACATAAAGACACACTCTGTACTCAGTAGAAATGACAGCACACTTTACAGACAGAAGTACCATAAAATGATTCTTCACTACCAGATTCATACTGAGATTGTAACTAAAAAAAAAAAAAAAAAAATCCTTGCTTTCATACCTCTCTCTCTAGTCCTCTGAATGTAATTAAATATTTTTTATTCATTCTTTGATGATATTATGAAAGACAGTGCCCATCTTGACATCCAACCCTAGTAAAAGCAAAGAAAACAAAGGCTCTTTTTTTCCTGTAGCTTCTTAAAACAGCTGAAACGCAGAATATAGCTGTACTGTAGAAATGTTCTAAACTTAAAGCACTAAAAGATCAGGTATCATAATGCATGATCAGATATCCTCTAACTATATACCTCCACGGCACAACAGTACGTCGTTATCAACAGAGCAGCATCATCCTTTTTATTGGCAGTTGCTTGTAGAGTTCACATAGACCTGACAGTTGTTTTCCCCTAACATTACCCATACTACTAAAGGTTGGCCATTTTTAGCTTTGTATGAACAGAAAAAAGTAACTTGCTGAGAAGTGACTGGGATCACAATGTTTTGTCTGATCAGAAGAGAAAGAAACAAAATGCATTGAGAATCTGGGCAAAAATAAAGTGAAGAAATGTAAAAGAGATGCAGTCCCTGAGGGTGCAATACCTGTGGGCACTAGATCCTGACAGACTAATTTTTCTCATCACAGTAATGAAAGCTGACACAAAGAATTAAAAAAAAAAAAAAAAAGGTTAAAAAGCTGTTGCAGGTGAAGGCTTTGAGTAACCACCTTTTAAAAACTAAAACAAATCCAGTAACAAAATGAGGTTATTTTAATAGATGCTTGAAAACTCGGCATGCTGCTCAGCAACCTGCGCTACATCAGCGCTGTAGAGCTGAGGGTCTGAGAGTGCCTCAAGAAAGGCCTCTTCAAATCCTACATGCAACAAGCAACATGCAAGACACAGAAAACTCAAGTCTACTACCAGAGCTTGAGAGCTGCTTTCAAAGAATATTTACACGTGCAAGTACATGTATGCATATGCATGTGCCTATTTAAAAAAAGAAACAAAAAAAAAACACAAAACAAAAAAGCCTATTCTACCTCCAGGAACAATCAAAAAGAAACCTTGAATCAGCAAAGCATTGAGATTTGAACCTTCAGCCCCTGCGATAAGCCTCACTGGCTGAATTATTTTAAAATCTTGAACAGGCTGACTTTTATGGTTTTTATGTGACAGACTGCTTATCAACTGCTGTAGCAGTTACAGATTGCAAATGCCAGTTATGTCTCCCCTATTGACAGCTTCCATTATGGAAATAATGCTTCAGGCAGGAAATGTCCGCTCCTCTTCACTCCCAGCTCACACACCCACATTAGTATTGCTTTCCTTCTCTTGTCCGTATGCATTCCAAGTGAGAGGAAGGGCAGCAATACAAGACTGCTCTATATTGCTCACTGCTTACCACAAAAAAATAAATACATCCTTACACTGATTTTAAAAGCAATATTATGATTCCTCATTTGTGGATTCTGCAAAGATAGGATGATTTAGTGGGCATACAACTGGCAGGGCTGAATGAAACTCCTCAACCCCCCTTCTTATGTACTATATGTGTAAAAATAGTCATGCATACCAAAATGCTTAAAATGCTTACTTACTCTTACACCTTTAGGACCTGGGTTACCTTCTGGTCCAGCTAAACCCTATTACAAAAAGACATGACTTGTACTTCATTTTAACAAAACAGAAATGCTCTATTTAAAAGAACTATAACAATAAGTGTTAACTACAAACTGACAATACATCTTTCAAAACTACAGGAGTTGAAGAGGGTGTCATCAAACTGCCCCCATGGACCACTTTCAGAAAGGTCTCCCCTTAATTCATGTCTGAATCTCAGATAATGACTGAAACTTCATTTACATTAAAATTATTTCTTCTGGGAGGAAATTTTTTCCAGATCCAATGATCTGGCATTATGGTGACATAATTTCACAGGATTTTTCATAAGCTTTTTTTATTTGGACACGTTTCCAATTCTTTTCAAGCCAATGTCAGAACAGCATGTGCAGTCCAAATGGTCTAAGAATTGTATATGATTAAACACAATCATGCTATCATCCACTAATATATAAAACATCTTAATAGTATTTTAAAATATATAACTATTACAAACTTAATAAAATGCTGAAATATTGGTCAAATTTACCCTTTAAGCAGACACAAAATCCATAGAAGTTAATAGCTGAATTTGGCTAACATATCTATATATAGGAAAAATAATGAATATTTCTTCTTTATGTACTATTTGTATTACCGGATCAAGGCATCAATATTTATATAAGTGCTTGTCTTTATAGAAGAAAGGTTTCCAATTTTGCTGGTTTTCAATTACCTGAACAGAGAAGGAAAAACAAAACAACAAACAAAAAAACCTTTTAACGTTCTGTATCTCCAAAGAGCTGAAGAAATAGTTTCAGCAATAAGTATACTGATGCAAATCAAGAAGAACTATTTGGCAATAAGAAGCTTCTGTTGCTTCTGAACTTAAAACAAAGAAGTTGAAACACAAAGAATAATAAGAGGTTTATGAATGAGTGAAGTGTTTAGACATTCAGTAATGTGATTTGTGTGTGCCAGAAAGGTGAAGATTTCCTGTATCTAACCCACCGAGTGCAAGCTTAAAAGGCACAAAGGGCTACCTGTGAAAGAGGTTTGGTTCAAGTATAAATGATACTGTGCGAACCAATACATTTATATTATTAGTAGTTCCATAAGTGTTAGACACGGTACTTTTTAAAGTACATCAGTTCAACAAAGTAGTCAGGCAACTTTTCCAAGGTAAATCAGTCCACTGTTCTACAAACATTAAACCATGTTAAAAGTAACCATAGGGGTACCGGATGAAGGAACGAGAAGGGAATGATTTTAACTAATGTCCCATATTAGATGTTTTTGAAAGGAAAAAACAAAAAACCAAAGCCATTAGTATAGTTACTGCACCTGCCTGCCAGGGTAACCAATTGCCCCTGTATTGCCAGTCATTCCTGGAATTCCCTAAATGGGAAAGTCAAAAAAAAAAAAAAGTGGTTAATGTCAGGTTTGGAGGTTTCTTTTATTATTTTTGAAGTCCTCTTAATATGCAACAGCTTAAATTCAGTGAAAATTTGCTTTTTGTGCAAGTTACACAGCGGGACCCTAAAACTTACTACACATCTAAGTCCATCAGTTTCACTTACCTCTCCTTGGAAAAGCATTGCAAGAAGAGTAGGCCAAGATGTTGTGAAATATGACAAGGCATATCACTAATTTCCAGAATAAAAACCATAAACCGTATTTGTGAAAAGCTGTTGAAGAGGTCTGTAGGAGACAGGTCCTTATGATGCAGTATCTGCACTGGTCATAGGTATATTAAGACAAACTTTTTAAAACTTTATTTAAAGAAGAATCTTTGTGTCTTTACAAAGCTGAAATTCTTTGTCCCAGAATCAGGCCAAGATAGAACGAGATTAATCACTAATGTATTGAACATCTTTCCATCTTTCTTCCTCCTAATCAAGTCCAAAAGTTATTTTTGTTGTTTTACTACTCAACATCTGTGCATCTGAGTGTTTCTTTTCAGAAAAAAATGTGCCTTTCTGAAATGGTGCCAAATGGCATGGCCCCATCACTGAGACACTGGAAGCTCCACCCACCTCTGTTCTGCTAATTTTATTTTAAACAAGCCAAGTCCATAAATTGGACACTCTCCCAGCTTGACCCTTCCACCCACTGTCATATGTCAGCGTTACTATAGCAATGGATCAGGACTTCCTCCCCAAGCTGCTCGCAGCTGATTTATGGTGAAATAGCAGTCTTCGGAAGCAAACCCAAACGTGCAGAGGCAAAAAGGTTGCCATATTTTTTGTTTATATGAGCTGCCGCTGAGCTGATTCTGTCACTTGCTTTCAACTGGTTGTGATTCTCCTTGCAACAGATGTTATGCCATGGAACTGGGATCCACGGTCTCCTATTCTGGCTTAGATGGATCTCAAAAATTGTATACGAAAAAGAACTCGAAAAGGAGTAGAATCATTGCATTTACAACTTCTCTTTTAAAACTCTTCCATTCCCAGCTCTTCAAGGAATCCAACAATTCACAGAGTCAAGGAATGTGTCTCTGCTGTAAAAGCTTCTGAAAATTACAGATGTGCGGGTGCTACAGACAACAAATAACTGGTCTAATTCATCACATTCTGCAGGTGGGCCTGAAAAAAGCAGCAATAAGAACTGCTTCCAAGATGAAATACTTTCCTCCAAAGCATTATCTGGAAAGGTTGGTCAGAATATTTCTAAATGATAATAATAAAGGAAAATATGGACAAAAGAAGTATAACACTGAGATATCACATATTCTGCATTGCCAACTTTCATATACTTGAATATGTCTAATTACCTTCAAAGGAACTCATACACTTTATTTTGTGAGTAATTGGCAGAATTATTCTTCAGTGCAAGTCTCATTTTCCTCCTCCATGGTAACCAACTGGTCACTTCCCACCAGCAACTCCTTTAAAGCTTGAGACACACTTCTCAAGTTAACAACGCCTTTTTTCCACTATCTCTTTTTCTCACTGCTAAATTACAGTCTACACAGAAAAATCCCGGTGGGCCTATAATAAAAGTCATCACTCATTCAGTTAAGATTTGTGTAATGCTCAATTAAAGTTATGGATGACGTTCATGAGTTTTTATCTTCCTTCTGGTGACTATCATCTGTTATCATTATCATTTCCCTTTCAGTATTGTGCAAAAGGAGACTCATGCTTCCACTTACACTGCAATTGAGAGCCTTGTTATTGCTAACAAGATGCATCAGCAAGTGGCCATCTCAAACTCACATTCAGATTACTTCTTCAGCTGTCATGGAAGTGTGAAGAAAGCACTGACTAACCATTTCTTTTTCTACATGCTAGGAGATAAGAAAATAATGCATTAAGTCAGCAGAGGTTTTGAAAAAATCTGAACTGCGCCTCTAATAGGAATTTTAAATGAACATCTGCCAAGCCAGTAAGGTAGTTGAAGAAAAATAAACTGGTCTTTTGTATTTCATTTAGGACATCTTTACTATACAGATCTCTATAGAGTCCGAATTCCTGGTCAAGAACTTTTGAGTATTTCCTCAAGCAGTCAGTAATTTGCACTGATTACTTACACTGAATGCTTACATAGGATTATGCCTTCTTCTATCCTCAACTGTTCATCTGTAGAGTACAACATACTGTGCGCTTTCATCACTTACCTGTTCACCCTGTGGCCCTCGTGGTCCCAGATAACCCTTGAGACCCTGCAGGTAGAAAGGAACAGATGTGTGATACATACAGTTAAACACACAAAATGGACCTTCTCTTCCTACTTCAAACTCCTCATAAGAATTTATCAAAACTTGTTTGCAGAATTAGTGTAGTTTACATTCAGCAGCTCAAAATGAAAGCAGAGTAAGAAAAAAGGGGCAAGAAATTTTCGTGGCAGTCTAGACAATTTCAAGGCATCAGTGTGCTTAAGATGGTTACAAATTTGTGTTCATTAAACAAATGAGTACACCCTCCCCCTAGTGATTGTTGAAACCAGGGATTTGGATTCAGTCCAGTGCATTTTCCCATTCCAAATCCTTGTCACCATTCCCGTTCCAAACAAGGCAGTTTAAAGGACAGACATAAGCATGGGGCCATCCCAGATTGTTTCAGGACACTCTCTAGGAAGAAAGACCTCCCAGGACACAGAATGTCTCTTTTTATTTAAATTAACTTAGAATAAATAGCAGCCCTTATTATATCATGGAATTTATACCACTGGAGAGAATAGCCTGTTCCTTATCCCAGAAATCTTCCCTGTGGTGCTGGAAACATGAAGCTGTCAAATTCTACTCCCCGTACATTAACCATTTCAGTCAGAATTTAGCTCTTAAAGAAAAAAAGAGTTAATAGAGCTTGAACCTGCCATCTGTATCAGTACACTTGAAACGGGAACCTTCTTGGTTGCCTTTGGCACTGGACTAAACATGCCCAAGCAAACTGACCCAAACGAGAGGCTCTAACAGCTGTATGTCTGATGCAGAGGCCAAGAATCTGGTCTTCACATCCCTTGCAGCAGGACTAGGAATAGGCAGGTTCCCAAAGCCACAGCTTGAAAGAGGAAGACAAAAAAAAAAAAAAAACACCTTATTCTGGATAGAAATCTATGACAAAATTGGTCCCAAAGACATTCACTGGGTACTGGGAGCATCCTGGCTGATGTGGAACATCTGGCTGCCCTGCCATATGATGATGGTCATTAGTCAGGAAAGATGTGAGGTGATGACAGGCCCACTGTAATAAGAAGGAATTCTACAGTTGATTTCAGCAGACTAGGTATCCTTAAGTTTTGGACAAGATTTTGCATGACCACAAGAGCCCTTGCTGCATGAAGTTAACTTTATTATCATATAGAAAATTAAAAGAGTGAATGATTTTTCTTGGTGATAATTTTAGATAAAAAAGAGAATCACATCTGTTAGGCTTCAAAATTTGCAATTTTACTATTATAGGCTTGCTCCAAAAGAGATGTACTCATTAAAAACCCAAAGGCCTCATTTTCTCAAAACCCAGCATAGCAGGTGTTTGCTTGCATCTTGCTAATCACACACAGGGCATTGCCAACTTGCATTAGTGTTTAACAGTTTAGTAGAAAAGCAAATTGCATCTGTCTACAAGTCATAAGCTGCAGGGCTTGTTTCAGGAGTTAAGTCAGAAACTCCCATTTATGCATTTTCTCTCATTTTTCACCAAAAGAGCCAGATATAATTTATTCTAATTTTAATTCTCTTCTGTAACTCAAGTCTAAATAATTTCTATAGATTATCTTGTATCTAAGATGATCAGCATCGCTGTTGGAAAACAAATAGCTGTAGCACAGAGAGCCTGGAGCTGCTCTTGGACAAACTAGTTAACACAAAATATCCCAATTTACTATAATGCCTAGGAACAAATTTTTGATTCAACTGGTAACGTGGAACTAAAAGTGCCAACATAAGCCAGTAACACACCTTTAGCTTTCAAAACGTGCCTCAAAAAGCCGTATAGTTTGTTAGAGCCCTGGCTCATTCTATATTACTTAAATGATCAAAAAAAATAGACATTGCTAGAAAAATCTCAGTATTTTATCATTTCTGGACAAGAAGAAAAGGAAAGCAGGTGCTGGTATGCATGGGAACACTCAGAAAAGTTTATCAGAATTTAAAGTGAATCAGTTTAGCTGATCAATAGCTGCATGGACACCTTTAGAAGGTGGCACACAAAGAACTGTGAGATGAAGTAGGATGACTAATTCCAGGGTGCAAGTTTTTACACCACAGTAGCTTACTCCTGCCAGAGGATAACTGTTAAAAATTCATAGGCTAGAGTAGTATGCCCACACTGTCTTTCAGAATTGACATGGTGTTAATTAATTTTAACTTAATTAATGCTGGTTGGGAATTAAGCTAAACTATGCTAAAGTGAATATCATTCCAAAGACAGATTTGCACATGGAGGTTTCCTGTAAAATTCTTAGTTAAAATTCTTAGTTTTTCATTAGTCTAGGTTCAGAATCATGAGCATATCCATATAAATAAGCCCCAGTTTGCTTTGAGCTAACAGGAAAGTAAACAAGAACTACAAGTTCACATGTATGCCTTTGAAAAACGAAATACCTCCCAAATTCTAAGATTAATGTTCTGATTTGAAAGCTAAAAGTAGAAGAGAAAGGTTTAAAGCTTCCAATTACTCCAATACGGATTTCAAGCATGTTTCTAAAACACAGTAAGTTGCAAGAATATTTTGTGTGTGTGAGAGAAAAAACCTTACCCTCAACTAATACAACTCAGACAAGCCTTGGTAAGCAAGTTTAAGTGCCTCACTTCTACCATATGCCTAGCACAGTGGGACACAGACTGAATGAAGTCCCTATGTAGCAAAACAATATAGATGTTAAACCATAACTGGTTTAACATAAGCACTGTTCAAGTCAAGTCTTTGTCTTAGTTGTGCTCATTGTATTTTAATAATAATTGCAGAGAAAATCTAATAAAATACATCTGGCACAACACAGGCAAGTTTGCTAGAAAACAAAGAAGGTTCTGTAACCTCTAAAAATTAATAGGTAATGTCTTATACCTAATGCTAGAAGTATTAGCTACAGAAAATACAAAAGATGTCAACCTTTGAAAAGTGCCAAAGAGCTGGAACCAAAAAACATCCTGGTCATAGGGTGAGCCTAAAATAATATAGTGCCATGCACAGTCACAGGAACCTTTGCAGTGTCTCCTTATCATCTTCACATTTTCACCATATGACAAAGTTTTGAAAAATTTCTTCATCAGCAAATAGTGCTTTTGTTTATTTTCTTTGTAGCTCTACTCTATCTTGTTTGTTGATACTAATAACACAACTAAGACTTCATCCAGCATCTCTTAGCTGGAATTTCCCAAGGAATGAAGCTCTATAAAATAAATTTATATAGAACAAATTGATATAGGACAGATTTGAAGTTTGGTGTAACTTTACTTTCAGAAGGAGCATATGGAAGGCTTCACTAGAAGCAGTCAGAATGTCTAACCTCTCCACAGGAAAGTTGTGCCAGTTTAGATGCAATTACTGCTACCTTGCAAATGGAGCTCTGATTGCAGCTGGTCTAGGCAAAACCAACTGGCTTAACTTGAATTAGTTTAAGATAAACATTATCATTATCCAAAGAATTAAATGACAGGCTCTCCGCTTTCGGTAAAAAACTGAGTACTACTCCAAAGCTTGGGCTTGGAAGCAGAGTACGAGAAGGCTTGGTGTTGCAAGTACGCAGTCTGTTGCAAGGATTCCTTTCTAGCTTTTGACAATTCTGTGCTAACTTCACTGTCTCTGGTGACTTTTGCAGAGATTTTCAAGGTCTAGCCATACAGGAGGCAGTCTTGCGCATGCAGCTGCTGAAACAATGCTGCCATATCCCCTTCAACAGGGCTTATTCAAGGAAAACTTTCTTGATTATTCAGAATTTTAGAAATCTTTCATCCTGTATAATAAAGGATGAGTTGTTAACACACTAAATTACGCCAGTCCATGTTTTATAGAAGCTAAACTCCTGTGAGCAGGCTGGAAAATCAATTAACTGAGATGGAAAGAGAAATTATACATTGATAGCAATGAGAACAACATTATTAGAAGGCAACAAAGTGCATTTCAGATAAGCTTGTTTGATTACTATATATTCAAATTAATTTTGGAATAGTAACTTTGTGACTAGGCAATAACGCATATCTTCCCAACAGCCAAGACCTGGTGCCTGAGGCTCCTATTCACACCACAAGGAGGATGGTCCTTGTGTCAGGGTCACCTAACTAAAGCAGGATGGGGGAGGAGACGGCCCTGTGACAGGAATGGAAAAGTCATCTGGCAAGGGAGGGATGTAGGGTACTAGACAGTGGCCCAGGAAATGTGCTTTTCAGTGCAGGAGTCTGCCGGAAAGCAGAGCGCCAGATGCGAATCAACAGAAGGATTCCTCTGCCAGCTTTGCACCCTCTCATGAGGCACAGCCCAGAGGAGGAAAGAAGCTACAGCCAGGCCTGTGACTGCACAGGATGCCAGCACAGCGGCTGGGGAGCAGGAGACAGGTGCCAAATGTGTGACAAGATAGGTGAGACCTGCCAGATCAGGAGGAGCTCTGCTTCCTTGCCTTGAGAAATGACATGTGTCTTCAATGCCCCTCTCCCAATGCCTGCTGTGCAGGGAGGAAGGGGAAGGGAAAGCTGAGCAAAGGTTTCTGCTTCCACTTTCCCCTCTAACACAGCATGTTCCTTGGCATGGATACAGGTGAGGATCAGTACTTACTTCTCTCTATCACCCGGTTGGTGCTGTAGCTAGATCCTTGCTATCATTATGGTCTGATAACCAAATGAACCAAGTGAAGCCCCTTAACATACAGCTGCACACTTCTGCCACCCCATTGCCTCCAGGGATGTAACGTGCTGGAGGAGCAACCAAGAGGCCAGCAGGGAGGAGGGACCCATGGCACTGTGTTACTGGGAGGCCTCTGCCACACTTGTGTGTAAATCTGAGTGCCATACTGAAGGACAAAACTGGCTGGTGGCCTCTTCCTTCCACTATTGAACCCAAGCCCCAAAGGGAGAAAGGGGTGAAACAAACCCTCTTCCAAAGGCTGCCTGCTGTTTTCTAGGGAGAGGCACTACAGACAGTTCTTCAGTGTGAACAACAGACCATAACTACTTAAGGCAAAATTACATCAAAATTCAGCTAAATACATGTACCGAAAGGAAAGGTGCTTCTTCCGGGGAAAAAGACCTTTTCTCCATCTAATCCAGTGGAGGAATTTCTCTCACACAGCTGGACTTGCCTGCTGCTCGAGGAAAACGGCCCTCTCCAGGAAAAGCACTAAGAGACCCTTGGTAGCATAAGGTTTGCATCATCACAGCTACTGCCCTGTTTACCTATTTGCCTTAGTCTTTACAGGATACAAAAACAGAGACAAAAGGAAACACAGAGCCCTTCTCAGTTTGCAACCCGTTTTTTCCCCTCTCTCTACACAAATCCTTCCGACCATATTATACGTCAGTATGTGAATTTCTGCATATGCACTGCAGTCATTTTAGTGCACTGGCATGATCCCAGGCAAGTTAATCCCCAGATGACTTCTACTCTAAAGAGTATTCTCCTTTGGTTGACAAATCCATTCCCCACCTCTCTGGCTATTAGAGCTAACTAATTGTCTGTACAGGTGAAGTAAGATCCTTTTGGGCAGGGAGGGTGGGCAAGGAAGGAGGGTGTTTCTCCCATGAAGTCTCTGAATTGTTATACGACAAGTTTTGTGATTGTTGATTTTAAGACAGATAAGATCTGTGCAACTGCTCTGGAAATGGCATTCGCCTCAAACTTACTCTAATCTCCTGCCATTGCTTCTCTGCTTGAAAAGATGCCTGAAAGAGAACATGCATCTGAACACTTTAAAAATATGGAATTTTCTGTTCTCACACTAGAATAAATTTGAAAAACCTACCCTTCGTGTAACTAAGCAAAACTTAGCCTTTTGTTACAAGCAAGGGAAACATGTAGGCAGCCACAAGGACGCATACTCTGAAACATAGTATGTAATGAGAATAAAATTAATCATAATAATCTCTTCCCAGCGTCTTGATTATTAACATATTTTTGTTTTACTATTTCACTGAAAAAACCAGACTTTCAGCTCAAAAAAGAAACACATCCTTTTGCAGTTATAATCCAAAACAGTAGTTTACTAGTGCTATTGTGTTGCACCGAGGCATTCAAAAATTTTCGTAAAATGAATCTGTCCAAGAAACTCTCCTAACCTCAAATATGCAGAGAAAATAGAACCAAAAGCACATAGCATATGGCTATTCACAAATTATTCTGGTCCAAACAGTGAAAATAATACGCACATTCACCCCAAATTTCCATAGCGCATGTTTTTCTATAAGTGCTGCATAATATTGCACAAAAAGTTCAGAACCAGGCTAAAAATCAGAGAAATCTGTTAAACAGATTGTTCCTTCTGCATTAGCATGACAACCTGGAGCACGTGTGATCCTGCCCAGCGGGGGGCAGCAGTTATTGTCGTGTACCCCTTTCCCAGCTCACTAACACTCCAGCTCTTCAAAGCCACCACTACAGTTAAGGGGAAATGGACACCAAATTTCCCAAAGAAATGTGCAAACCTCAAACTCAAGTCTTTCAGAAAAACATGGAGGAAAAGAAAAATCAATATGAAAAAGAGCAACTGATGTGAAATGAGCATAGATTTGTATGACACTATTAAAAATGTGTGGAAAAGCATGAGGATTCCGAAAGCGTGCTTATCTATTTACAAATCTTGAATAATGATAATTAAAGATCAAATATTTCAAACAACAAAACATGGGCTTGTCATTAAAAAAGTCAAGCACAAAATACTCTTTATAGGTGTAGTGCTGTTCAGAGGCTGGTATTCCTACAATCTGGGTAGTGTAGAAATTGTCCTACACACGGTTCTAGTTAGTGTCTGATGTATATGACACGGAAACAGACAGTAAAGTTTCCAGTAATCAGCTGAGCACATTTCTCCAGAGTCTCTAACCCCCAGATAAGGAGTGAATTCTTGTGGCAGGAAGAGAGAACGATGGCCATGAGATTTTCATTTCCTTGCTCCCAAATGTCAGTCTCATAATCCAGAACAAGTGACAGCTGCTTCCCATCTAAAAAGCTTTTATTTAAGATAAAACAAAAACTACTGTCCAGGCAAAACTATCAACCTGATGAAGTGGGAAAGCACTACGCTTGGAGATTCTCAGGGTGCCCAAGTATGGCCAGTGACAAGAGCAATCAGTGTTTTAGGCTAACTCTCTTGTCAGAGATACACATTTTCTCAGTTCAAAGAGCCATGAGCCACATGTTTTTGGAAAGATAAATTTCCACACTCCTCCTGGTGCTAATTCAGTAATAGCTTCCTTTTCTGGCCACAATTTTAGTGTGCTTTGGTCAGTTCAAGAAACCAAGAATTAGTTTCTTTAAAACACTATCAATACAGTTTTAAGATCAAGATAATGTTGAATGAAGCGGTCTTAAAACATAACACTGGACATGAATTTTGTTGCAATACCATTTTTTCTTTAATTTCAATAGCAGGCAAGCCTTTACTAATATTCCTTCTTTAAATGTCAAAGAGTGAGGCCAAGAATATCTGAGCCTAACTTCCTAATAATTCATTTCATCCTTTGCTGGACGTGCTTTACAGGTGCCTTTAGCATTACATACTACTACAAAATGTTGCATCTTTTTTCCGTATTTTTCTGTTACACTTGCAACACAGAAATATCTTCTGCAGAGACAGCGATTAATAGCAACTTGTCCTATCTTGCTGATTCTCCTTTCTTTGCCAGTTTAGTTCTATCTGACTAACCAGAGTAGCCTATGGGACATATATCAGGCAACCTCTCCTTCCACATGAACTATACTCACTCCTTTAAGAAGCAGTCAGCACAGAAGACCAAAGTTACTTGCCTTATTTCCTCCACTGACATCCTTCATGTTCCTGTCCCAAAATTACCTGCTTGTCTTACGCTGTCCTGCCTACACGAACTGCCTTAATATGGATGCATTTTTTAAATGCAGTGTGTGCCATCTGATGTTTCTCTTATTGAAAAATAATACTGTCATTATTATATAGCATGCAAATGCAGAACATATTTCACCTGAGTTCTGCTTTACATTGGAACATTTGGAAAAAAGTCAGTTATGCAATTCTGAAAGACCGCGTGCCAGAAGTACTATACTACTGAATGAATAAGCACATAGTCCTGTGGAATTATATCATGTAGAAAAAGAAGTCAAAGGACTTCTTACCGCAAATTGAACACAATTGATTTAAAAATGGCTGTATCTTGCAGGCAAGCCTATGCTTTCCAGCAACCTTTCTGTTTGAGCATGGCATGCCTTTCAAAGGACTCCAACTCAAGCACCTGTAATTTACATTCTGCTGCCATGATCTCAGTTCATTTAGTTTCAATAAAAGGTTTTGCACTGATGGCCCCGGAGCCTGACACATTTGACACTGTAGCAACAGCCAGACAAAAGTTTGTGTCCTTCCATTATCTCTCAGCAACGAGACTTCCATCTAACAGCCACAGATTTGAGCGAGGGAGGTTTATAGGAAAATAGAAACAGAGTATCTTACCTTCTGGCCTTTGATCCCAGGTGGGCCGGGAAAGCCTATTGGGCCTGGATCACCCTGTACAACAAAACGGGGAGAATCACTGTGTTTCATTGGAACGTGACTCAGGGCCATAAACATGCAGGACTTCATGTCTTCTCTTCATTTGTGGATGTTTGGGATGGAAAAGTAGATAATTCTATTTTTATCAGGCGTGGATTTATTGGCTTAGAGTTAAAAAATGAAAAACGGCTACAGTTCCCCCACTGATACTAGCTGGTGTAGCATGTGTGCTTCTGCATCATGTAATGTGATCAAATCACTGCTGGAGCAGACTGTTCATAACCTCAGAACTTTTACTTCTGGCCAATGTAAGCAGGAGTGAAGAAGATACAACAATTATCAAGACAGTCATTCCCTCAGAAGTGAGTGATTTCACCACAAACTAGTATATTTTTTAGTTACTATTTATTAGTTAGTGTTATGTCCACAGTCCTCAGATAGAAATCAGGATGCCATTGTGCTATGTGTCGCAAAAATTATAACAGAAAAGACCTGCTAATCTGTGCAAAAAGATATGAAAGATGGATATAGGTAAAGGTGTTATGGTAACATATGGCTACTCTCACTCAGATTCCTTAAACCTTGCAACTACATGACAGCACACAAGAATGAAAACAAGAGTATCTTGAACCTGAGGGAGTTGGAAAAAGACACATTTTCTTATGGTTGTTGCTCTTGGAGAAGGAGGGCAGGGTATCCCAGTTCTCTTTTCTCAGCACAAGACTGATAGTAAAGAGATTCATTCTTTTAAGGTTAGTGGCCAAATTCAAATGCAGCGGGTCAAAGAACAGATCCTGGAAGTGAGTTAACATCAAGGCGAGTTCAAGTCCATCACTTAGGCTGCAGAAATTTGACTTGCGTGAAAGAGCAATTTAAGAATCAAAAGAAGGCGTGAACTAGAGAAATGCCCATTTTTGGACTATACCACTATCTACAGATACTCATGTGAGCTTGAGACTGTTTATCAATGTATCCGTGGCAGCTTGGGCTCTGGCCAGAGAATATACCTAGAATTTCAAGTGGACACGTATAGCTTCAATCACTATGATTAGATTGCCACAAGTACAAGTCAGCTAGCTTAAATAACATTGCCATTTCTACAAAAGCAGCAATGAAATTTCTTATCAGCACGCCCATAGACACACTCTGAGTTTTGCCCTGTCTTTGATCCAGTAGTGCTTTAAAATTGAAAAAGTATTTTTGTGAATCTTACCGTTTAACAAATTTTATGCATAAAAAAAGAATCCTATTTCAGGTACACCCGCAGCTAGCTAGAATAGAGTTACTTGCTAATGCTTGCTTCATTAAGAGCATGAGTCCTAGATTCTTAGAGTGTTTTATACTTAGTACTAACTTTCCACAATTTAACTACTAGTGCATGTTCACAATAAAATTTAGCATAAATACAACCTATTCTAAAAATATATAGTATTGGCTAACTTATTAGAACGTAAACATGCCATTAGATTTTTAGCATTAGTACACTAGCTTTAAAGTGTCAAACAATCTGTGGATTTGCAATCTAAAACTGAAATAACCATAAGCTTTCAAGCTTTCCATTCTAAATATTTATACCCAAACACTTTGGGAAGAGAGAGCAACTGCAAATTTGGCTACAGAACTTCTCTTCATCTTAAGATGAACTAGCAGGAAAAAAAAAGAATCTCTGAAGCATACAGACAAATGACAGACATGCAGCATACAGACTCAAGCGAGTCTGTTAAAGCGATTAAATATGACAGTACGCACAAAAATGTGTGCACTAGTCATCACCAAATTTTGTTTTTCTTATGTCACTTTCTGTACTAATGAAAGATGCTTAAGAAAACTGGAAGCTGTCTGTACTTTATCGTATCACTGTAAATAGAATTCAATTCAATAGAATTCAATTTCATGATTCTAGAAGTTTTTCCCTTCTAATTTTCTTACAAATGAAATCAAATGCTTAACTGCAGTTTCAGCTTTGATTATTATTTTGCATTTGTCTCTCGTTCATTACATCACCTGTGTTTGCACTGGTCAGTCTAATATATGTGTCAAAATACACCATAGTACATACAAACCATTGCTCTAACTGTCAAAACTTGTGTGGATGCAAAACAAGGCTTCAACAAAAGAATGGGGCAGACAAAACGTGATCCTGCAATTAAGAAAATATTACCTTTTCTCCACGTTTTGCTTGTCCCGGGGAAAATCCTGGATCTCCTTTAGGGCCCTATTGCAGGGAAATCAAGCCCATTAATACCAGCAGGGAACAGAGATTTTAAATTAGAAGCATGGTAAGAAGTATTTTCACCATTAGAGCAAAAGGAAGGGGAAGGTTCATATAAACTGTACTTGTTAGTACAGATTTGCTTTCTAGTAACTTCTTCAGTAAAGAACTATAACATAATACAACAGTGAGTTTACATTCAAATGAGATTTATAGATTTTATGAGATTTTCTTAATTTCATAATTTGTCAGAAAAATAATAAACCACAGATTTTAATTATAAACTCTGTTCCGATATAGTTAAGTTGGTGTGCCTGTATTCCCAGTTATAACTGAACGTATGACCTGCTCTTTGCTTACCTCTGAAAGCCTGCTTTATCACAATAACCTGAGAGGAATATCAATAGAGTTTGCAGTTATTTAGATTTCTGCACAATTATGTTTTACATTCCTTTTCAATCTAAACCTGTTTAAAGCTGTGGTTAAACTGTACCCAATGTCTTGAAACTTCTCATTCATATCAGCAGCTTAGCTTTCCACAACAGACTTGCACATCTCCACTGTATAATTTAAGAAAATCATTTTCCATTGAAGTTACTAGTTTTTTTTTTTTCCTTCTAAAACTCTAATTTCCAGAGTTTTTAACAAGTGTCCACCCACAGTATAGTCTCTTCTAAGGATTTGAGGTACGGCAGGCAAGCAGATACCATCTTTTTTGGTAAAAGCGCTCCCACTGATCAGGATTACAACAGGCATCTCACGTAAAACGCTTTCCCCAGGACTCCACGTCTTCCCAATACCACATATTTGCTCAACCCAGTGTAATATCGCTCCTGTCCCACCTTTACGCAGCACAGGCCTCTGAGCTAAGAGGGATGGCTGCAAAAATTCAGAAAAAAGCAGACGAGCAGATAATTCCTCTTGCAGAAGTTATATCGCCTGCATCCAAGCCTAGGAAGGAGACGGACCCTGCGGCGTTGGTCTCTCCTCTCCCCGAGCATTACCATAAGCACTGAGGAACTTAATGCTACGTTATTTTAATCGCAAACAAAGATTAGGAGACATTAATCTGGCCCTGTTCAACCTCATTCTGACCTTGCTTAACTGGAGCTGTTGAAATCATAACGATTTGCCCTGGGCCGAATTCGTCATAACCAGCAATACCAGTCTCCCCAAACACTAAGAAAAGCCACCAGATTCAGCCATGCCGTGAGTTACTGACCCCTTCTCTCAGCTACCTGGGAACGGCACGTCCCCGAAACGGCGGGACGCTGTGGGAACGCAGCGTGGAGGCCTCGCTGCCAGGCCGCCAGGCGCTGCCGGGCCGGGGCTCCCC